TCGAATAAGGATGGCAGTGGAGCTAGGCATGGTGGCTCGTGCCTCTGATTTCAATACAGGAATGGCAGAGGGAGGAGGAGCTGGGTCACATAGCCAGTTTCCTTAGAAAAAAACAAACCAAATCCAAAAAGGGAAGAAGGGAGAATGAGCACTCGCCATTTGGTGTACATTATTAAGATGGCAACTATTAGCCATTGGCCAGGGAAAAGCTATTTGAGAGAACAAAGCTGGTGTGTTAGCATGCTCCCAGGCCACTTCAGACAGTTCACATCAGTTCTCTTTCTGAGCTGGTCCAGTGCAGTGCACGGGCAAGGACAGTGCTCGGGGAAAAACCCATCAACCTAAGCAGGCTGTTACTCTTGGGCAGTGAACAGTTGATGTCATTACCAGCCTTCGGCCTGCTGTGCTTTCTCCATAGCTCTATCTCCCACTCTGTGCTGTCTGAGATGCAAGTGATTGAGCAGGAAACCCCACTGAGTGCAAAATCTTCCCGGTCACAGCTTGACTTGTTTGATGATGTTGGAACTTTCGCCTCCGGACCCCCAAAGTAAGACTATTGCTGGAGCATAGACTTGCCTGTTGTGTTCCTACTCAGGTTTCTCTGAGCTACTCTGCTGTCTCCCTAGGTACAAGGATAACCCCTTTTCCCTGGGAGAAACTTTTGGTACCCGCTGGGATTCAGATGTGACCTGGGGTATGGACAGGGTAGAAGAGAAGGAACCCGAAGTAACCATCTCCAGCATCCGGCCCATTTCAGAAAGGTAGTGTGGGCAGGGCAGTGCTGTTCATGTTCACATAACGTGGTGCAGGGGTGGGAATGTTCAGTAGTTGAGTGCAGCTGAGAAACTGAATTTCTACTGTTTTTTAATAAAGTTTAGCAAATGTAAATAACCACATATAGCTAGTGACCATTCAGTAGTTAGGGCTGTGCTTATCACAGCCAGCCTGGTAGCTATTTTAGGTTGGGTTCTATTTTATAGTCGGAGGGGCTGATTTTCTGTTTCATTTCTGATGTCCCTTCCAAAGGCTATATGCCTCTAGCCTTCATGTTTTGATTGACTACAGTATCAGGGATCAAACCCGTATTTTCCAACTGCTAGGCTCTTTGTTTGTTTATTTGTTTTTCGAGACAGGATTTCTCTGTAGCTTGTCCTGGAACTAGCTCTTGTAGACCAGTCTGGCCTCGAACTCACAGAGATCCCCCTGCCTCTGCCTGCCGGGTGCTGGGATTAAAGGTGTGTGCCACTATTGCCCAGCCCCTTATTTTTTTTTTTTTAAGGAATTTATTTTTATTTTATGTTCATTGGTGTTTTGCCTCCATGTATGTCTGTGTGAGGATGTCAGAAGCCTTGGAATTGGCAGACAGATGTGAGTGGCCATGTGGATGGTGGGAATTGAACCTGGGTTCTCTCGAAGAGCAGACAGTGCTCTCAACCACTGAGCCATCTCTAGGCATTTAAAACCAAAACCAAAATGCATTCCATTGTTGAGAAGCAATGTTTTGTTGGCAGGTTACCATAGATAATCCATTTGTAAACTTGGCCATGAGTAATAACTTCAGTGGACTCTAGAAGCCCCAGCCTAGAGCCTGTGTGTTGTCAGTGTAGTGATGTGATTCTGAGAGAGTGCTCACAGCCACTGGATAGTCATGCAGGAGAGTGGGTGTAAGCCAGGCACACACACAGTCACTTCAGATTGTGAGTAGGGCTCAGATGGCAGCAATGATGGGATCTCTGCACCTTAGTGAGCCACAGTAGTGCGGAGCCTAAGCCCTCCAAACCGCATTCCCACTCCATCTGATGGAGGGAATTGAGAAAGAGGAGAGGACCTCTTGCTATTCTTTTGGAGGGGAAAGGTTCTTGCATCCCAGAGTTACAGGATTGATATGGTTTCCATGGCCAGAAAGCTATGGTATGTATTTTGGTCTCTGAATTCTGCTTCCCCTGGTGGCAATGGGAAGAGACCAAGATACTCTGCACTGGCCCACAGATCCACAAGCCGGAGGGAAGTGGAGAGCCGGAGCTCAGGGCTTGAGTCCAGTGAAGCGCGTCAGAAGTTTGCAGGAGCCAAAGCCATCTCATCTGACATGTTCTTTGGTCGAGAAGTGGATTCTGAGGTTGGTGAAGTTGTCTACTTGGTAGCTACTCAGCAGCCTGAGCTCCTTCTCTGTCTGTCCTGCATTAGGATGGTTGGGCATAAATCAGTTCTTTTATCCCTGGCCAAAAGATTGCCTAGACCTTGCCTTTTCTCCACCACAGTATGAAGCCAGGTCTCGGTTACAGCAGCTCTCGGGCAGCAGTGCCATCAGCTCCTCAGACCTTTTTGGGGACATGGATGGAGCTCATGGAGGAGGTAGGGTCCCAGTGTGTGGTAGGGCATAGCTAAAGGCCCTGTAGCTGGGAAGGGCTTCTTGCGGGGCTCTTGATCACACCTTCCCTTGCTTTTACAGGAACTGTATCTCTGGGGAACGTACTTCCTACAGCTGACATTGCCCAGTTTAAGCAGGGTGTCAAGTCTGTGGCTGGCAAGATGGCTGTGCTGGCCAGTGGTGTGATGAATTCCTTACAGGTGAGGCTGGGCTGCTGGGCCGGGAAGAGATGTGAAATGTAATGCTCGGAGGTTTGCCTTCTGCTCTCCAGACCCTGCTGAGTAGCCCCGCCAGCTGGAGAGAGCACTGGCTTTTCTTGGCAGGGCTATTTTCCATCTCTGTGTTTGGACTGAGCCTCTCCCTAAGGTGATTTGGCCAAGCTTGTTACTTCTCTTTGTCTTCCCTCCCAGGTTCTGTGAGAACTGGCAGGATTTCCCTTTTCATTAGTGCCCAGGTGGCTTTGACCCTGCTAGCATCGCATACTCTCAACATGGGTCCCCGGCCCTGTTCTGCTGTGGGGTATGCAGGGGAGGTATTGTGGTTACTGGGGAGCTGCTCCAGATTAGAGACTCTGACTTTGTGTTTTTATTCTCCCCACTCAGGATCGCTACGGTTCCTACTGATCCAGGCTCCATGACTCAAGCCTGTGGTGGTGACAGCAAGAACCCTGATTCCCAGGCCAGGGTTGCTCGCCTTGTGAATCTGGGCATTTGTTGACTTTCTGTGTGTGGTGTATGAGTTGGGTGGCTTTGGAGGATCTTGGGCAAGGGGAGTGGTCAGCATCAGTCCTTGTCCTTTGCCTGTGCAGTGAGTCCTTGTCCTCGCCCTCATTCTCCTCTCCACGCTAGTGTTCTTTCTTCCAGTCCTGCTCCAAAGCTGCTGCTAACTTAGCCTGCTGCACTGGGAGTGAGGGAAGGAGTTCTATCAGGATGACTTTATGGGTCTAGTTCTTCCCCAAGTAGGGAAGGCATAAGGCTTCTGCGGGCTCTAGGATCCTTGTTGGTGGTCTGGGGGGTCTGGGCCTCGTCTTCTAGAGACAGGGGAGGTCTAGCAAGAGTTGTGCTGTATCAGCCCTCAGGGAGAAGTTCTGGACTTGCCACTGCTGTTATGTTGGTGGAGGCATGGGTGAGAAGGACCCTGGTAACTCACTAAGGGCTAGAACTTTTGCTTGGCTCCTAAAGTGTTTATTTAGGATCAGCCTGGAGGCTTGAGCAATCTTCCTTTGTCACCACTGTCCCTAGGCTGACTTCTGCCTAGGTGTCTGAAAACCTTTATCTACCATTATTGTGGGTCATAGCACCCCTTGTCTATGCTTGAGAGTCTATTCTTTTGTGTCCTGCTTGGCACTCATGGCGGGTCCCACCTGTGTGTCCTACCTGGATGCTAGGAACCTGCTACTGGCTGAGGAAGCTGAGGCTCTGAGAGAAGTCCCTAGAGCTCAGCTTTTGTCCTCTGCATCATTCTGGGTTTAGGGGTCCTGAACAGCACCCTACCAGTCGGTGAGAGCTGGAGGACTCTGACAGCTGGGCCATGCACTGTGTCATCCTGGTGCCGTCTCCCCTGCCATGCTGGCAGTCTGGGCCCAACCTTACCTGTGGACTGCAGGTTGGGCTCCCAAACAACACAGACCACTCTTCCCTCATCCCTCCCCAGAGGGGGACATGACTTTCTTTCAGCACTGTTTGTATTGAAACAAAGTGGTGTCAAAATAAAGCCCCCACGGGGCACTGTGGGTCAGTGTCCTCTCCATCCTGCCTCCCTGCCCAGTGTGGCCCTTCGCTCACTCTCTGGGCTCCCACCGATATGGATTGGGCGTTGATTCCAAAGCTGAGGGCACTCTCTCCGGGGCCTCCAGCTTGTCTCTTCTCTGAAAGCCAAAGGCCCCTGGCTCCTTGTCCCTGTGCTGCCGCGGGGTCCGGTACAGCCTCGACCTCACCACCCTGTTGCACGTGGAGGAAAGAGGTGGTGTTAGTTGGCCCTCTAGTTTGTTTACATCCTCGTCACAGGAGGCAGACTGGGACCTGTTTCTCAATGGAGCTGGTTTTGGTTTTAGACAGTGTCTCCATAGCCCAGATTGGCCTTATACTCGCAATCCTCCTGTCTTGGCTCTGGTGCTGGAATGACGGGCATGCACTAAAATGCAGACTGGAAAAGTTAGAGATGCTGTGTGTCAACCCTTTTCTTATAGGGTTACTTTGTCCTTGGGACTGCTCAGCACAGTACAGCTACAAACCACTGTGGGCAATGAGGTTAGGAAGGAGAGGTGAAGGGAGCCATGAGTTCTAAGCCAGTCATTTCCAGTGCTTTGGGATCATGTGAGATGTTGGTGAAATACAGATTTTTGTTTCTAACCCCACATTGGTACAGTAGGACTCCAACTTGGCAACTGTCACTGTCCCAAGTTTCCCTGTGTCTGGTACACATCAGAATTTGAGAAACCTCTCACAGGCTCACTCAGATGCTTGGCACCGCGGAGCTTTTTGGAAGCCACTTGTAATTGTCCACCGGCGGGTCTTGTTAGGAAGGATTGGAGGAAAGTTATTTGTACAGTAAGTGATGACATTGGCCTTACTTGTGGCAGGCAGCCTGCATGAATTTTATTTTGTGGACAATCTACCTCATTCGAGAGAGATGAAGATCACCTATTCACTTTTCCAGCCTCTGCTCCAAACCTGCTTTGTGCATATCTGCAATACTGCCCTGACCAGGGAGGTTAATGAAGCCCTGGTGAAAAGGTTCTGCAGCTTGTGAACAAGGACTCCCAGGTAGTGAGAACTCACTGAGCACCCTGAGGTGTTGCTGAGGGCTTTGAAGGCTGCCCTCATCTGTATGAGGGCCAGGTCCTCTGTCAACTGAGGCAGGTCTCCATGCTGGAATGGCCCCTGGCTCCACCTCCCATCCCATCAGAAAAAGCACCCAAGTCACACTTGCCGTTCCCCTCCCTGTAGCCTGCCGGCTGTAGACTCATTGCTTACCAGAGACAGGGACTTTATTCATTTCAGAGATTGGACTATTTGATACAAACTTGAAGCCGATTTTGAAAGTGAAATTCTTGCCCATCCTCCCTCTTACTCCAGCTAGTGGCTGATTTCTCCAGCAGAAGGCCACAGTTGATATGTCTTCCCAGCACATGCTCTCAGGAGTCACCCTTGACCATGAAAACCCAGTGTTAGCAATTTGTGTTCTTACGAGAGTTGTGAAAAATGACCCTTACTAGGAGGATCATGGCTGGCTGAAAAGACACTGTACTTAAAGCATAAGCAGCACTGCCAACAAAAGGCAAAAGCCAATGCCCTCCCCAAAGTTGAAGTGGCCTTGGTACAATATTCAGTTTAGGGCCCAACAGGTTGTCAAAAGCTGAGAGCATGAGTTACGGGATTTCTGGGATCACTGATCTAGTGGCTGCAGGACTGTTATTTGCTCTTCTCTCCAGCAGAGGGCGGCACAGTGGTACTGGAGAAGTCTGGTGAGGGCAGCAAGAGCAGGGTGGAGCAAGGTACAAGCCACAGATGGGACCCTTCAGATTCAAGTCTCAGACTCATCTGTCTCTTCAGTGGAGCCATCGCTCTCTGCATCCAATTTGCGGGAGCGATGGAGGGGTTTCCATGGGGAACCAACCCGGGGAGGGGTGCGGGAAGGCAGGCAGCTGGCCTCAGAAGTGGCAGTGATGGAGTTGACCAGGCCTGGGACCTGGACCAGCCTGAAGAAGGAAAGAAGCCCAGAGGGTGTTGTGATGAGTCTCCCATTCAGAGACCAGGACCTCCACATTTAACTGTTGCACTTGAGCAGACCCCCAAAAACTTATCCCTGACCAAGATGGGATGTTAAAAATAAGTGCTGTGTGCCCTACAGTGGGGCACAGTCACCTCTAACTGATTTGGCTTCCACAAGAGGGCAGCATCTTCCCAGTTGACACTTACAGCCGGTCCAGCTCCTCATCCATGGCTGGGTCATGCATCAAGTCTCCTTTGTCAGGCAAAGCTCCTAGAAGACGGGGATTTGGGGGTGAAGTCATAAAACAACGGAAGGGCCCTCTAAGGAAGCAGAATTCTGTCCCTTGCCTTCATGTCTGACAACTCTTTGTCCAGGAAAGTTAGTCCATGTGGAACAGGAAGTCTTAGGTGCCGCTTTATAAATTTAGTCTCACTACTTTCCCTTCCTTACTTGGGGCAAGAGTGACAGTTAAGGGGCTGGAGAGATGGCTCGGTGATTAAGAGTTCAATGCTCAGCAACCAATGGTGGCTCACAACCATCTCTAGTGAAGTCTGATGCTCATTTCCATCATAAAGTACATGCAGATAGAGCACACATATACATAAGTGCCAGGCGGTGGTGGCGCATGCCTTTTTTAAATCCCAGCACTGGGGAGGCAAATCTCTGTGAGTTTGAGGCCAGCCTGGTCAGTTCCAGGACAGACATGACTTTCACAGAGAAACTGTCTTGAAAAACAAATGGGAAAAAAAAAAAAAAGTGGCAGCTAAGGAGATATCCTCAAACAGTCTCCTTCCAAGACTGGATGTGCTTTGTGACCAGCTTGGTTCTTGAGGCCCCAGGTGCTGAGCTGGAAAGATTATGACCTAAGCTAAATCCAAAGGGTAGAAAAAAGCCAGTGTATGGAATTGTCCTCCTCTTGATCCCATCCGAATATGTGGGATATGTGCTTCTAGTGGGAAATGGCTGCTTCTAATGAGGAAATCAGTCCCACCTGAGGTCTGGATTGGTTTCCATGGCCATAAAGGAATAGGCTGGTGATGCTATTGGGAAGTGTATGGAGTGTCTTGGGTGTTTCTCCACTAAGTTTTCTTTTTGTTCTTTTTCAGAATAATCAGATTTTTTTCCTATTTTTCTGGGAAAAATAGCAGCACCCACTCGATAGCAGGAAGGTGGGACTGAGATGTGCAGGGAGGAGACCTCACCAACAGCTGCTGGAGGAACAGGGCTTAGTAGCTGAGTCAGGCTGGAGGAGCAGGGCTTAGTAGCTGAGTCAGGCTGGAGGAGCAGGGCTTAGTAGTTGAGTCAGGCTGGAGGAGCAGGGCTTAGTAGTTGAGTCAGGCCGGACAGCGGTGCTGGGCTTCTGGGAGACTCAAGGATCCAGCTCTGGGCCCACTTCTGACTCCTTCAGGTTATGCCTCATATTATTTTATGGGGTGTTCTGGGGACAAGGGGATCTCTTCTACAAACTGTTTCAAGCAGGGTATTTCCAAGTTCCTATTTTTAACACATACTGTCTTCTATTGCTGCCTATTCTATATATTTAGTCATGAATTAGTACTTAGAAAGAAATGGTGTGAGGTTCTTTTTATCCCTCAGAACTGGAGATTGAACTGAAAGTTTTTATTTAGTTTGTGTTTTTGACAGGGTTTCTTTGTGTCTTGGCTGTCCTGAAACTCACTCTGTAACCCAGGCTGGCATTGAACTCACTGAGATCCACTTGCATCTGCCTCCCAAGTGCTAGGATGTGTGCCACCACCGCCCAACTCTTTTTTTTTTTTTTTTTTTTGACAGAGTTTCTCTCTGTAGCCTTGGCTGTCCTGAAACTCACTCTATAGACCTACCTGGCTGGCCTTGAATTTATAGAGATCCGCCTGCCTCTGTCTGACCAGTGCTGGGATTAAAGGTGTGCGCCACCACTACCCAGTTTTGAAGGTTCTTTTTGAAGAGCAGAGAGGGCATGGGATGAGTGCAGGTTGTGATCATTGCTAACTAGCCTTTTCTTTTCCTCTTAGCAGCTGTCACTGGTAGAAAAGACTGTGAGTCGCCACTGGCTCTTGAATCTGGTTTCCAATTGGCCTCTCTTCTAGCTGCAGTCCAGCTAACTGGTGACCTTGGTTAGGAATCTTACTTAGTTGAGTAGTCCTCCCACCCCCGACTCAGTAACTAAACTTCTAGGTAGCATGCACGCTTAGCTTGCCTGTCTCCTCTAGAACTCTGGCAGGTGTGTATATACAGAAATAAGCATAAAGGTTCCAGCATAGCTTGTGGCCCATTGTGTTGGGTGTTTAGCAGACGTTAATTGTTCTTCTCGGTCCCATCCCCTCAACTACTACAAGGAGGAGGAATGCCTTGTGTCTCTCTGAGACTCAGGAACCTGGATCTAATCACACAAGGAGATTCTTTTGAGCGAAGATGGAATCATAAATCCTTTAAAATCCAGCAGGATCTGGGCTTCATGGCGCACATCTTTAGTCCTAGCACTTGGGGAGCAGAGTCGGGTGGTTCAAGGTCGGCCTGGTCTACTTAGTACAGACCAGGCTATACAGAGCTGTACAGTAAGACCCTGTTTCAAAATAACAAAAACCAACAAACCTCCAGCAAGAGTGACTTGATGGTCTCTCCCTGGGAGAGGACTGGCTGTGCATGGGGGGGGGGGGGGGAAGTGCAGTGGGTGGAGGCCGGCCAGTGAGAGTAAAGACCACAGGCAGGGAAACTGGGCCGATCTCCACTTTTTTTTTCCTTTGTCTTTTCTCAGATTTACCAGATTTCTTTTTTCCCACCTGGGAAAAAAACACCTCCCAGACACAGCTTTGCCCTATTTCTAAACTGAATTCAGGTCACTTTGATATTTAATCTCCAGAGCCACCGGGTAAATAGCCCTGCATCTGCCCAACCTGCAGGCCACTCCCTAGAGCAGAACCAGGAATTCTCTAGGGAGGGGCTGGGCAGACCTATGCCAGGGAGCAGAACAGCTCGCTCCTGTTGGGGCAGGGCAGAACTGTCAGTCACATGGAATGTGAGGGACCTCCGGGCTGGCAGTTTGGGATTATGCACACCGCAGCTCCTAGGCTTGAGAATCAGAGGCAGTGTCCTACCCTTGCAGGGCCATGTCTTCCATGGTGACCAGCTGTCTCCCACAGTGTTGGGAGGAGCACAGAGGTCACATGAGCTCTGCTTACCCAGCGTCTGGTTGATTCCATGATGTTTTGAGAGGGCCACAAGGAAGCCATAGAAAGTCAGCCTCTGGACATTACTCAGGATCTCTTTGACAAGCGCTGAGGGTGGGCAGCTGGAAGGGAAAGTTCAGAGGCCAGGTTCAAGTCTAAGGGCCATTTTTCATCAACACCTCCAGGACACTCAAGGCTGGGAGGAGCATGGCCCAGACTGCAGACAGGGCTGGTGTGCTTAGTGCTATTTAGTTGGTGGGGTTAGAGACAGATCATGCTAGGTATGTGCTCTGCCATACCCAACCCCATAACCAACGCTTTTACAGGGGACCTGGAAGAGAGGGAAGAGAAGAGGCTGGTGACAGCTCCTTGCCTGGAGGCTGTATCTCTAAGGGGCCTTTGCACTTCCCTTTCTGTAGGAAGTTTGGAACAGTGAATTTGTTCTTTTCAAAAAGTCAAGGCTTGTCTTCCCTGGTAAGCAAGTCACCTACAGCTGTTTCTCCCCGGTGAAAATGCTTCTTTGTAAGCGAGCCACCTGCTTTGGGAACAAATGGCCCTATCTTTAAATCACGACCGTCCTGGGCCTGGGAAACCCTGAGCCAATCAAAATATGTTTCTAGAGACTTGTTCCAGACCAGTGGCCTGACCCCCAGGGCCCATGTCCCACCTGTACTTGTGCCGGTCACACAGGTTCTCCAGGCGCTGGTAGAAGAGTGAGGCCTCCACCCCATCCAGCACACCAGCGTCACCCAAGGCAGGCCGCTGACGGTGCTGCCCACTGGATGACGTTGGCACAATCACTGTGTTGGGGTTCTTCCCCGACAGCAAGTCCTGATAGATGGCAGCCACACTGTCCAGAAATTCTAGTACCATAGGGGTAGGAAGGGACAGTTTAGGCAAGGAGGTCATATTTCATTTCTTCCCCATGTTCCACCTTCTCTGATAGCTCAGTTGTGTCCAGCCTCGGTGCAGTTGGCAAAACAGCTGGAGTGAGTGACTGCTGCGCTCAGGAGACTTCAGGAGACGCAGCACTCCTAGACTAGATGGGACCCCCACTGTCTCCTTGCTGGAGTGTAAGCACTTTGAACAATGGCAGGGGTCATGCCCCCAGTGACTAATACATGCACATTTTCAGTGAGGAGCCCTGTCTCACGAGGCCATCTACTTCCTGAAAGCACATTGGAGGCTGCAGGAAGTGGTTTTGTTACTGCCTGGACAAGGCTGCTTTTAGTGTACTCTACCCTTGGGAAGAGAGGAGCAGACAAACTGCTAATTTAGTAATCGTTTGCTGCTGTCTTCCAAGCTTTGCAATCACACATTGTAGTAAACAGTGACTTACGGCCTGTTTTCCCCCCCTCCCCTCCTCTTTCCTCTGTGTGAGCCTGTTAGAGGAGAGGAATTCTCCCAAACATGGCTGCTTTTCCTTAAGGTGGGACGTGACTGCTGCGGCAGCTGGGGGCAGTCAGCCTGACCCCAGGGTCTAGCTCCTGCCTGAATAGCCCTTGGGCTGCAATCACGTAAACAGAATGTGGCCCCTAAGCGAGGCCAAAGGTCAGGGCAGGTCTGAGGTCTAACCTCTGCAAGCTCATCTCTTAGGACTTGTGAGCAGATTAAAGTCCTTAGTGCTGCACCTGGGAGGCAGTAAGTTTTTAATAAGTGAATGCTATTGATATCCTTACTGCTCTTATCACTTAAACGGTGTGTGTGTGTGTGTGTGTGACTGGAAGAAGTATTTGTCAGTATCTTCAGAAGACTGAGAAAGTAGGTGTGGCACACAGTATTGTGACCACCAGTATAAACCAGACATCCTGTTAGTGGGTCGTACTCCTAAGGAAGTGGGGAAGGGAAATATGTGTGCCGGGCACATATGGAAAAGATAACAGGGTGAGAAACAGAGACATGGTCCCTGACAAAAGACACATGGGGCCTGGAACATTCTCACCTGAATAATAAAACTGGATCTGGAAAGCAAAAAGGAAATCTGAAAAAGACATCAAGCAGTCCATAGCATCATCCATGAGCACGATCCTGAGGGGAAAGAGGGAGAGAATCTGAGAAACCAGAGTGTGCTACATGTATGTGCCCTTGAGGGAATGAAAACCAAGCTGACAGAGATGAAGATTAAGCACAAACAGGTCATTCCTAGGCCTCTGTTCTCCTCGGAGCTGCAGCACCGAGAAGCAAGCTCCTCTTCAGTCGCCTCACTGAGCACACTGCTCCAAGGGCAGCTCCCAGGTCAGTCTCAGTGGCACCAATCAATGGAGCATGGGCAGAGTGGGGTGGAGGCAGCAAAGAGAGGGTGCAATTATAGTGCAGCCAAGATTTCTTTTCATATTCTTAAGCAGTAAATCCTCATTCTGCAGTAGGGCCATTTAGTTCTGAATAAGTACTGCTGATCAGAGGAGGCAAAAAGGAACAGCCAAGAAGTTTAAAGGGGTCTTGGCAAGTGGTGCTGAGATTTAATAAGCTATCAAATGGCCAGAGCAGCAACAGGCACCTCTGCTCTGGGACATGGAAGGTAGATTGGGGGCAGGAGTGGGCAATTCTGCACTTGTGAAGGTCAGAGAACACGTATCTGCTAATGGTGGCCACTGCAGGTGCCTGTCTCACTCTTCCTGCTGGCCAACCTCAGGGAGAAACCATTCGATTGGCCATGCCCATACTCTGCTCAGGGATGAAGGGGAACAGGAAGAGAAGGGAGCTAGCACTGCTGGGCGCTAGCCGTGTGCCAGGCAGAGTGCCAAAATCCTCCACTACAGTGGAGCTGGGCCCCCTGTCTGTTTCTGACAGTGCCCTTTGGCTTTAGCTTTCTTCTTCTTTTTTTTTAAATATTTATTTTATTTATTTATTATGTATACAATATTCTGTCTGTGTGTATGCCTGAAGGCCAGAAGAGGGCACCAGACCTCTTTACAGATGGTTGTAAGCCACCATGTGGTTGCCGGGAATTGAACTCAGGACCTTTGGAATAGCAGGCAATGCTCTTGATCACTGAGCCATCTCTCCAGCCCTGGCTTTAGCTTTCTTTTTCCTATTTTAAATTGTTTTAGTTTTGCTTTGGGGTATTTCTCTAAATCTCCATTTCTTGAATCAGAGGGTCTCCACACTGGCAAGAGGATCCGCTTGAGAACCAGTATTTACTGCAGAGAAAGGACTTTATGGAGAATACTGTTTGTAGTGCCCTTGCCTTAGACTGTGCAGAGCACTCTGCTCCACCGTGGGCACTACACATCGTATTTAACTACCTTCATTAAATGTCATCCCGTAACACCATAAGACATTGGGGTTTGTTACTTCCTTTTGTACCTGAGGGTCTGATCCCAAAGGAGAAAGCTCACTAAAGTGCATACATAATGTGTGAGTTTGTGTGACACCAAAGGCTGAGTCTTTTCACAGGTCACGCTGCTGCTTCTAAAAGAAGGAAGAAGCCAACTGCATGCCTTATATCCCAGCACTGGAGAAGCAGAGGCAGCTATAGCTCTGTGAGTTCAAGGCCAGCACCAGCCTGGTCTACATAGAGAGTTCCAAGACAGCCAGAGCTACTTCGAGACCATATCTAAAAATAATAAGAAGACAGAGTAGAAATACTAGAGTTAATTTTTACATTAGTTTCTGGGCTCCTTTATGTTCTTTCTCATGTGTATCTTAGAGCTTTAACTTCCTCTGGGGAAGAGAGAAAGCTGCCTCCACTATTAGCTGGGAAAAACTGAGGCCAGAGTAGGAAGCAGCAGTGCTGCAAGGACCACAGGAGGGCGCGTGCGCTTAGGCCCTCATCGGTGCTGGGAAACTACATGAAGCATCAAAATCCAGAAGATGCCCATGGTTTCTCATAACCTGAGATAAAAAATTAAAAACAAAAATAAGAGTGAGGGCAATGAGTGAGCCCACTTCAGACATCTGGATGGTGTAATAATGGTCTGTCTCTATAAGAGATAAGCCATACCCATTCCCCTCCACAGACCCCCCCCCCATAGACAGGCTGATCTTCAGCTTCCAGCTTGAGTTCCTTCCTTTTCCATCTCCCTCTCAAAGAGGCAGCTTCTCCCTCTCCCCACTTCTCCCCTTCCTCCTTCTGTCTCTCCTTCTCTCTCTCTTTTTCTCTCTGACTCTATGCTCTTCTCCCTTTCTCCCTTTCCCCTCCATAACCCACTAAATAAATATCCAACCTCGCTCTGCATGGTGTGCCTATCCGTCTGTCTCTTGCTCGCCGCGTGGTTCCCTACCCATGACAAGCCGCCTTCGGAGACCTACAGCGTGGTCTCGTGACATGCCTGTCTGTCTCTCTCCTCGTGGCCTGCTGCAGCCACTTGAGTAACTGTGCTGTCCCTGCCTGGAACTGGCTGCTCTCAGGACTTGCTGTTTGCTGTCTGCTGCCACATGGCTCACTGCCATTGCTTGGGGATCTGCAGCGTTTCTGCCACTGCAGCTGCAAAGGGGTCCAGGGATCCTGCAGCATTTTTAATTAATCCATTATAGATGGGAGGGAGAAGACAAAAAGTCTGGGGTTAGTGAAGATCCACTGCAGAGGGAGAAGGCGCTGGCTTCACCAGGAATACCCAGGGGGAAGGGCCAGCTCAGAAGGGGAGATGGGAGCACCCTGTCCCTGCTGCTCTCTCTGCTCCTGGATGGCCAAGCACCCTAGCGGCCAAAAGCAAATGACTTCAGGAGAGAACTGGGCTGAGTCTCGCCGCAGGAAAATCTTGGGTGATGTCTTAAAGCTTCCAAACATGACAAATGCCTCTACCTTTAACCTGAATCCTAGGGCTCATGTTGATAGTTATAGTTGATGCATATCTTTATTAGTCGTTATATTGTGATGTAATTAAAATACCATAAAATCAACCCATGACAAATGTGTAAGTCAGTGTTTTAGTATACTGAAAACACGGTGCAATCATCATCACAACTGCTCATTCTAGAGGCTACCTCTGCATTTCTCCCCATTGCATGCTCTGCTTCCCAGAGGCTCCAAGCAGATACTGAGCACCTCTCTGGAATGTTAGCAAAATGCTCTCCCTAACCCAGACTTGTCTCTACCTCAGAACTGGCTCCAGCTTTCTGTCAGAGGTTTTGCTTGTTTGTTTTAGTTCAGTTTTTCAAGACAGGATTTCTCTGTGTAACAGTCTTGGCTATCCTGGAACTAGCTTTGAAGACCAGGCTGGCCTCAAACTCACAGAGATCCACCTGCCTCTGCCTCCTGAGTGCTGGGATTAAGGAGGTGTGTCATCATACCCGGTGACTTTATTTTTTAAGATTTAGTTAATTTTAGCTGGGCGGTGGTGGCACATGCCTTTAATCCCAGCAACCAGAGGCAGGTGGATCTCTGTGAGTTCGAGACCAGCCTGGTCTACAAGAGCTAGTTCCAGGACAGGCTCTAAAACCACAGAGAAACCCTGTCTCGAAAAACCAAAAAAAAAAAAAAAAAAAAAAAAAAAAGTTAATTTTAGTTATGTGTGTCTGTGTGTAGCTCTGCGTGTGTGAGTACAGGTGTGTGTGCTAATATCAGTGTTATGGTAGTGAACCTTGGCTGCTGAGAACCGAAGCCGGGTCTTCTAGAAAAACTGTGAATGCTCTTAACCACTGAGCCATCACTCTAGTCTGAGAGGCTATTCTTGATTAGATCATTAGCCTCCTTTATTGCTTTTATTGTGTTTAATCAATCTCAGGTTCTATTTAAGTACAAATAAATTTTTAAAAAAAATGCAAAGTATTAACCCCACACCCTCCCTGCTGTACAGCTAGCTGCTGCAACTATTGGCCTGACAGCCAGAGAGACAATGATTCACACACACACGTATATATACATGGATACATATATGTATACATATATAAATATAAATTTATTATTTATCTATTTCACATCCTGGCTGCAGTTTCCCTTCCCTCTTCTCTTACCAGTTCTTATCTACTTCAGGAATTTGCTGCTCTTTTCAAGATGGCTTTGCTATTCTAAGAGGAAACACTTGAACAGTTTTAGCATAGGAGAATTTGTGACCAAAGAGCAGAGCTTTCGACTGTGGATCAAGAATGTGTGCCTGTCGCCTGGTCAGGAGCAAAGTCCCTGGGAGTATGAGCTTATCTGTTGCTCACAGACACAGTGCTGAGCATAAAATCTGGCTCTTGACACCAAAAGATCACATAATCCAATAATAATATGGAGTACAGACCTAAACAGAGAACTCTAAACAGAGGAATCTAAATTGGCTGAAAGACACTTAAGGAAATGTTCAACATCCTTAGTCATCAGAGAAATGCAAATCAAAACAACTCTGCGTTCTTCCAAAGGTCCTGAGTTCAATTCCCAGCAACCACATGGTGGCTCACAACCATCTGTAATGAGGTCTGGTACCCTCTTCTGGCCTTCAGAAATACACGCAGGAAGAATATTGTATGCATAATAAATAAATAAATAAATAAATAAATAAATAAATAAATAAATAATAAGAATGACCAAGATCATAAACACTGATGACAACTTATGCTGGAGAGGTTGTGGGGTAAGGGAAACACTTCTGCATTGCTGGTGGGAATGCAAGCTGGTACAACCCCTTTGGATGTCAGTGTGGTGATTTCAAAGAAAATTAGGAAAGAACCTTCCTCAAGACCCAGTAATACCACTTTTGGGTATATATCCAAAGGATGCTCAATCATGCCACAAGGACATGTGCTCAACTATGTTCATAGCAGCTTTGTTTGTCATAGCCAGAACCTGGAAACAACATAAATGCCCCTCGATCGAAAAATGAATAAAAAAAAAGTGGTACATTTACACAATGGAGTACTACACAGCAGAAAAAAATAACGACAGCTTGAATTTTGCAGGAAAATGGGTGGAGCTAGAAAACATTATTTTGAGTGAGGTAACCCAGAAGACAATTATCACATGTACTCACTCATAGGTGGTTTTTAAACATAAAGCAAAGAAAGCCAACCTACAAACCTCAATCCCAGAGAACTCAGACAACAATGCGGACACTAACAGAGACTTACATAGATCTAATCTACGTGGAAAGTAGAAAGTAGAAAAA